CCCAAAGCCACAAAGAGGGGAGATTCTCTGGGCCCAGAGGAATGAGACCCCAAGGGCTCAGGGAGAGGTGATTCCATGGGCCCAGAAAGAAGAGATTACCCAGGCTCAAAGGGAGGAAACTCCAAAAGTCCAGAGAGGTGAGACTCCTTGGACTCAAGTGGAGACCCCAAAAGTACAAAGAGGGGAGATTTCCCAAGCTCAGAGGGAGGAGACCCCAAAGGCCCAGAGGGAGCTTCCAAAGGCTCACAAAGGGAGGATTCCCCAAGTCCTAAAGGAGAAGCCTGTTGAGGCTCAGCAAGGGAAGATGGGCCAGGCTCAGCATGACAACATCCCACAGATTCAGGAAAGGGAGAAACAGCTCTATAGACAGATTTTTCAGTTTCAAGGAAGTCAGTCCTTACATTCCCTGGAAGGGGAGAACTTGAAGTTCCTCGAAGAAGAGGTCTTACAGTTCCAGAAAGGGGATATTGTAAAATTCTGGGGAAAGGAGAACCCACAGCCTCAGGGAGAGATTCTCATTCCATTTCAAAGAAAGGAGACTAAACAGTCCCCAAAAGACGATCTCCCACTGTTCCACCCAGCCGAGTACCCACAGTCCCATGGAAAGAGAATGCTGCAACCCCAGGGAAATAAGACCCCATGGGATCAAGGAAAGGCAATTGCATTCCCCTGGGGAAGAGAAATCCCATGGTCCCTGGGAAAGGCCACCCCACAGCTCCACAGCCAGGTGAGGCCGGGGGCTGGACCAGGAGGGCAGTGGCTCCCAAGTCAGGAAGGCAAACTGTTGAAGACCCCCGCACAGCAGAGACTCAGGGAATGTGAAGCAGGCCAGCTGGGGACGCTGAGGGTGCAGAGCCAGCAGGCCCTGGGAGCTGCTGTCAAACAGGGACCAGGCCTAGCTGGGAGCAGATTGAAGGGCTTGGAAGTTGGTCGGTTTCAGCCACCATCCCTATTACCAACTCATGGGGCTGCAGAGCTCAAGGTAAGGATAATGGTGATGTATAAGGACAAAGCTATCTGAGAATGGCTGTTTCTGTCCTATTGGTGGGTGACGTGACTAGACAGAGGAATTCCCCGTTTTTCTTCTACACTGCAGCAATGTCACCCCAATCCCCCTAGCAAGGAGTTGGCTTTCCTGGGTCTCACTCCAAAACAGCAAGAGAACACCCTGAAAAGGTTTCTGGAGCTACAGGGTGAGGCCGGGAGAAGGCACCAGAGGAATCGAGAGCTGCAACGGCTTCGGGTAAGAGGGCCTGCCAGATGGTATGGAGGAAGAGAACATGACTAGAGTTTAGGAGGAAGTGAAGAGATGCCCTGAGGGCAAGTGGGCCTTAGGGGCCAGGTCCTCAGCACCTCAGCTCCTGGGACAATGCCCTCATCCATCTTCAGGTCCAGGAGTGCCTGTGCATCACCAGGAACCGACGCTCAGGGGGAGACCTCCTGGGGTCCTCACTTACTACCACCCAGCCCTGGATGCAGGCAAGACCCTAGGGAGAGGAGGGAAGGGAAGGAGAAAGGACATGATCTCAACTCATTCTTGGTGGTGGGCTATAGGGAAGGTGGGCTGAGGGGAAAAAGTACTCTGCTGCTGCCACCTGTCGCTGAGTGTCCTGGCTCTGTAGAGAGACCTGTGGGCTCAGCCAGTCTCTAACCCACCAGGGCGATGTGGCCCAACAGAGGTGTGCCTTGCGGGAGCAGCTGGAGCAGCGACACAAGGAAAGGACAGGGTTACTGCAGGCCCAATGGGAGAGGTGAGAGGTTGGGTTGTTCCAGGCCCAGAAAGAGAACTCATATAGGATATGTCTTTCCTGGGCTGTGGGTAAGGGAAAGGTCTTTTGGTGTATGAGTTTACAGTGGCTGTCTCTTCCCCAGGAACACTAGAAATTTCCAGGAGCTACTTCAACCTCAAATGATTGGGGAGAATCCACTCCTCCCAGCTCTGTTCCAGCCCTCTTGGGACCTGAAGAGGGTCAGTGCTCAAAGGGGCAGTGGGGAGAAAGGCAATGGAGAGCTCCCTGATGGTGGGAAGTCAGAGGTCGTCGTTGGCCAGAATTACAGAAAGGCCAGGGATTTAACCAACCGCGAGGGCCCAGGAGACCCAGACACACACACCCACCACAGAGGGAGCCAGCTTTGCCCCACCTGAGGGCATGTAATCTCTGTTTCCCTGCTTTCCCTTCCCACCCTTCCCCCAAGCCCAAGGTCAGAGGGCTACGTCCTTGGGGTCGAGTAGCGCAAAGGCCCCATTCTTGCGGAAGAAGGTTTCTATCCGGCACGTCTTACAGGAGACCAGGTTTCGTTCCACTGAGGGGCCTGGGAGAAGAGAGGGCAAAACCTGGGGATGGGCTCCTGAGAAAACAGCTTGGGAGTAAGAAGGGGAGGAGAGTGGGGGAAACTTGCTTTGTGAGTCATAGACGATTTGCACACGTGACTCCTGCTTCATTAGATATTAAAAGGAGGGCTCTGAATGGCTGTGGGAAGCTGGTGTGTATAAGGGGACGACAAGGATAATGAAAGTGGAGTGCCATCCCACACGGTGGCCTTCGTGTATTTCCCCAGGCCACAAATCTGCCAGGGGAAGAATCCCTTTACAAATAGTGGTAGCATAAGCTCTACTCAGTGTTGGGGGTGGGAGTGATGAGAATGAATGAGAAGATGGCACGAGCCAGAAGCGGGGGATTGGCTTCCTTACTTTTTCACCTACTACCCCGCCTTTCTACCCTTACCTGAACCCCAGCAGTAGCACTACAAGGTACAAGTTTGAAAATGGGGAGGTGAGGAGCCACAGAGTGGTTTAGGAGACTAGGGGAGGGTGGTCTGTGAGTTTTTCTAGGGATGCGGTCTTACCCAACTGCCAGCCGTAAGTGAAGTTGGTAGTGACAGGAAAGAGATAACGCTCTTCTGGTTTGGCAATTGTGCGGTTTTTCAAGTAGTTGAATCGACCCTGGAAATCATGAGAGATTCCATGGTACAGCAGTTCCCGTGTTTCAGGTGGCACTGGGAACATCTCTGTCTCTGCAGGAGCCTCCTTGAGGGGAGTAGGGGGTTTGGCAGGCTCTTTTGGTGGAGGTGGAGGAGAAGGTGGGGCCTTAGGGCCCAAGGTAGGCAGTTTAAAGACCTTTCTTGTGGCATCCCTGGCCACCTGCTTGGCTTTCACCTTTGCCCCATACTTTCGGTGCCAATCACAACGCAACTTCATCTCCTTTAGGTATTCTTCCTTCCAGAAGTTTTGTCGCTGCGTGTCCATATTGAGATGCCGTGCCATGGTGGCTGGGGGAGAAGGGCTACCTGGGCTATGGCAACTGAAGGGGTGGACACACCACCTGAGAGGTTAAGGCAGCAACAGCCTCAAGGACAGCAGTTGCCTTGGCAACCAGGCCTCACCTCATACAGTCTCAGGGATTCCATATGTTGCCCTTCCCTCTGGCTAGGCAGGGTTCCCATTCCCTTCCCTTCCTAGAAGCCCCTGGGATGGAGGCACACTCTAGGAAGTATCCCTGACCCTAATGGAGGTGATGTCCTTGGTCCTGGGAGCAAGGTTCATTTTCTCACTCTTAACATCGTACTGTGATTCTCATCCTCTAACTAGACCGGTACTACTGAGCCTCATGTGGATTCCATGTGACTTGTGTGACCTTAGGCAAAGGGTCACTGCATCTCTCTGGGCCTGTTTTCTCACCTGTAAAATGGTTTGGGTAGACTAGATGACCTCTAAGGTCCAGGCCTGGAAGAAGGAGATCCTAGTCCCACAACCACAAGGGTTGTGGCCTCTCTCTAATCTAGCTACTTTCAGCTTGCTCCCAGGTTTCTGAGCCCCACAGTCTCTTTCTAGCCCTGGAAACAGCAGCTCAGGGAGAAATCAAGCCCAACTTTGGCCTCCCTTTCCGAAGCAGACACACTGTTGATATGTCCCCAAAACCACCCAAAAAAGATAGCTGGAGAAATGAATTTTAATTTAGCATTGACATGAAGACACACAAATTAAGACGGCACAAAATCAACTGGGAGAAGGAAGAGGCAATGGAAGAAGAGGGAACATTTGAGGAGCTGGGCTTTATGTTTTCCAGTCTTCATTCTGTCTTAGTTTTACTCCAGGGCCCTAAAAATAGCAAGTACCATGAGCCCTCCCCCCTTTATTTCAGTAGTGGAATGTGACATATGTAGGGAAGGGTGATATGGGGTGTCCCTTAGCGGAGATCTTCAGCAGTGAACATGCCTCGGGCGCGACGTAGGATGGAGTCCTTGGCTGCATCATAGGGATGTTCCTTCGAAGGAATCTCCAAAACAGCAGGTATTGAGCGTGTGTGGGTATCCAATGCATGCCGTACCATTTCAGCAATATACTGGTTGATAAGGATGATACCAATGTCATCCCGATTTAGAAACTGCCTGTGGAGGGGGATTGGCAAAGAGAAAGGAAGAGAGTCAAATCCAGGGAACTTATGCAGGCTAATCTATCTTCACTCCTAAAGTTGTGAGGCAGGTGGGGGAGGATCCCGGAAATGTATACATGAAACATACAGAGTAAGGGCTGTGATAGAGGAACTCAGACAAAAATCTGTGGAAATCAGAGAAGAGGAAGCTGCACTAGAAAAAGAGAATCAATAGATGTTGCCTCTAAGTGACTCAGTTCTAGTTCTGCTGGGGAAAAAGTGAACAAATGAAAAACTCTATCAATTCCCCTCGAACTCATTTTTCCTTGTTA